CAACTGCAACTGTTCTCGAAGAAAGTCACGACTGAAAGGTTATATTGAAAAATCGAAAAACTGCTTGACTTGTCAAACGAGTCGTCTCACCTTCTCTGGAAAATAGATCCATTCCGACCACTGCTACCACAAATCATCCTTTCTCAGCTGGTACCGTTTCCTTGAGCTTGACAATACCCTCGTCGTAAGATACTCTAGTTGAAGCACTGATCTTCGGTGCCAACATCCATTAGCCGTTAGACCGCCGTCACACTCGGCGACGATCGCGATCGCTCCATCGCTTGCCCATCGCCGAGTGTGACGGCGGTCTTAGGAGTCCACATGCACAGTTGCAGCAAACTACAGTCACAAACAATTTCGTAACGGCAAAAATAGTAGATCGGTAACCAACCGACAGACGGTTTCCTACATCGTGGCTAACTGTGCATTTCCATATACAGTTTATTCATTAACAGAACAAAAATAACAATTCACAGAATCTCACCAAACAGCACTTAAATAATGCTCACATAATCAATCTTTGGTCCAAAGCTCTCATATATAATAGTTTTCGCAAAACCTAACCTTTTTCCACAAAGCTTATCATGCTAGGCACCATGAGTGAAAATAATAGCTCTGCTATCCTAACTCTGCTATATATAGAAATAATGTAAATATTGGAGAACCGGATGTCAGCTTGAACAACTATTCAATGTATAAATAACAAAAACAAAACAAAAACAGAAACAACACTGAATAAAGAAACGAAGTTGCCGTTATAGAAATATGTTACATGAACAACTATGGCCTCCATCTCGGCCTTCCACGGTTTTTTCCTCGTCGATGTGGGGCGGCCGCCGAATCTCCGGAACTTCTTCGCATTGGAGGCATCTTCAAAATTCCCTGCGATGACGACGGTTCCGTATTACGGGTAGAAGATTTGACGCGAGTTGGACGCACGGTACACCTGCACAATTACCGGTGCTATAGAAGAAAATTTGAGCACCTACTTATCTTTGCTTTACAATGAACATGAACGAAAATAATCCTATGAAACTTGGTCATGGAGAATTTTTTGATTTGATCAATCTCCACTGGATTGTAGCATTGTAGTTATCTTTGCTGGTGCGTTCCACTCTTTCCACTCATATCAAGCATCCGTCCTGCATGTTTCCATAAAAGCACAGCCCAAGGAAAATGTCAGACTTCGTAATTTTGGCAATTGATAATAGCCTCTCGCCACTTTTTCACGCTCTCCGATCTCTGGAATCGCCGAAATCGCCAAAATCGCTATATCAACTGCCAATGTCGCGAACTCCAACGACTGCCTCGATGACCACCGCAATGGCAGCCCCCTAGGTCCACTACAGCGCTATGGAAAGCGAAAAAAGGCGCCGACAATTTTGAAAACGAGCAATCATATCAAATAGCGTATGCTATGTAATAAGGAGCTTGCAACTCATCCACAGAGACCTACCATTTTGGGCCTGAAACCCCATTACCTGCTCTAAATGTGCCATTACTAGACTTAATCAAGCCTTCAAAAGCTCATCAGCTATGCAATCTTCCAGTATCGTCTGTTGAGTCAGCTGCACTCTGCATTGATGGCCCAATATTTTTTCCTAAGGCTAAGACTGTAACATGCAATAGACCCACTGCTTCTTCACGATAAGAGGCGTTGACGTGAATAATTCATTTGGCTCGAAGTGAATATCTTCATCCACGCGAATGCTGGAAAATGCTATGAATATTAGCTATCCAAAACAATGGAAGCACTCTCTTCAACGGGGATACACAAAATGAGCAGCAGATCAAAAGCAATCTAGACGCTAATGAATAGCAGCCGATGTCAGACTTTGCGATTGGAGCGATTTTGCACCAATTGCAGGAGCGACGGATCGCTTGAGCGATGCGAGCGACGGGAGATTTACACCGCCGACCACCGATAATTCGGCGCCATCAGTTCGTAAATCTCCCGTCGCTCGCATCGCTCAAGCGATCCGTCGCTCCTGCAATTGGTGCAAAATCGCTCCAATCGCAAAGTCTGACATCGGCCAATGCTTTTATTTGAAGTAGTTGTCACAGATCAGACAGCAAGGTATGGTCCCAATTCTTAAGTGAATGAAAACGAAAGAAGAGAACTTACGATGCATCGTGGTTGCCCGTGCCCGGAACAGCTGCCATGCTCTTGTTTAGCGGAGTACCAAAGGTTAAGTCGCCAAACAACTCATCATTATCGTCATCCTCCACCATCATACTGTCATCCAAATCCACTGCAATATCACGCTCTAGAAAAACTACGCTTTGTTAATAATAAGTGCTCGTATTATGAGATTGAGCACAGAAAAATTACTGAATTCTTCTGCCAAAGTAGAAGCAAGTGTATTCGTGTTCTGTAGACTGGCGCTCTTGACCTGAAGCAACGAAAAGTACAAGCTAGGTGGTGTGCAGAGCCCACAAGAGATGGCGCAAGGCGGCTCCAAGTGAAACCGTTGAACCTCTTACCCCATCAGAATCAACGTTTCTTGTGTCACTCTCCTCACGGTCCGTATTGAAGAAGCTTTCAGCATTATTCTTAGACTTCGAGGCTTCTCCACCTTTTCCGTGGTTTGCCTAGATTTTTAAGCATACGATGCATGAGCGTCCCAAATTCATTAATAAAGCTTAATATATTATAGCAAAATACCGAATTTCTAGGTAATGGAGTTAGCTGATCTTTTGAAACATATTTTTGATTAAATTAAAAATACTCGGCCAAAACTTGCTTGTCTTGCTGTCTTTGGCCAGTATATCATCATGAACCTTTTAGCGTTAAATTTGTCCAACAACGTCCGACTGCCATTGGTCTCAGCCCCTTCTTTCGCGACAACCTCAATCAGTCTGCTAATCGACTTTTACGATCGTAAAGCAACTTTCTAAAGCAAGCTCAGGTTTCCTTTTCCCTCTCAATGAATGACAATCATACTTATAAGCATAAGGGGTGCGCCATGCTGAACTGCCCAAATTGACAAAAATGGCTATTGACAGCGCAGTGAGAAGTCAGCCAATTGCGGGAAAAGCTGCGACTCGAAAATGTCTAAATCTATAGCGAACCTCACCTTCTCTGACTGTTTACTTGATTTTGGTTTCTGCTTAGGAGATTTTGGTTTCTGTTTAGGTGTTCTCCGCTTCATAGGGGACGACCTCGCATTCATCCGTGAGAGATTTCCCTGTAATTTCTCTGGCATCTTTACCAAGCCTTGCCCGCGAACACTCAACAAACAAACAAAAAAAAAACAACTTTAAACCAAAGAACCTGAGCTAAAAAAACGTGACAGAGGCCCCAAAAAAATAAGACATCCAGAAACATCAATGTTATCTTGGAGATCATCGTAGAAACGTTTTACTATTTTCGGAGCGAAACCAAATTCCAATGCAAAAATTCAAAAGCAGGACCCAACTATGTGAGTATTACTTCATTTCAGTAAGCCGATGTATTTAATTAGAACACAGCAACAAAAAAGTCCAACGCAACTACCTTCCCTACATTGCCCTCTTCGCGTTCGCCAGTTGCACTCTTCTGCGTGTGGGTCTTCTCTTTCGCTACAGCATTTGTCGCTTCTTGCATGCGACAGAAATTCTCCTGAATTGAAATGCTTTGGAAACACTAGTCCAAAATATCAAAATAGAATCATATCATCAGCCAAATCCTGAATGGCAGCTCACTTTGGCAGTCGCCAGCTCATCACCTTTTGTAGATAGCTGGTGCTTGAGCAAGTGTATCTCGCCTTCTAGCTCGTACTTCTTATTCTGAATATCTTCTGCGTCCGTTTCCATCCTCAATATTTCGGCTTCCATTCTACTCATTTCCGCCTAAAAATTAATATTTCACAGCATAGAAAAGAAAGTTTACAAAGAATAACAGTGGAAACAGAAATCGCACATTCGCATCTTCAAGTTCTTTCTCCTTTGCCAACTTGTTTGATTCTGCGCCTTGTCGAAGGTCTCCGATTTTCAAATTCTGCAAAGAAAACAATACGAAGTGAAGAACTTCATTGGTGCTTGCTGGCTTCCTCAGTAAGTATTGAACGTATTCGAAAGATTACTGGATTCTAGCTCACCTCTACCGCCAGATTCGACTTTTTCTCCTCCACCTTTTTTCTTAGTTCTTCGCATTCCTCCTTCAGTTCAGGTAACTTCGAATTCAGTTCTGCATTTTGCCCGCTAATTTCTTCATACTCAATGGAGAAACGTTCCGATTCTTTAAGCTTCTCACACTAAAATCCTTATTCTCAGCAGATATTGTTGAGATCAGCAGTTCCAATGAAAAATTAAAAATTGCTTCAAGTTGTGAAATTACATTGAATATACCAAATAGAATAGCGTCAAAGTTAGAACGAAAAACACGCCTCTGCTTTCGCTCCTTCTACAGCTTTACGACCATTCTCCAACTGTTCCAACATTTGATTAGAATGGTAATGGAAGCCGCTCTATAAAATGAAACATTACAAAAACATTTACCAGTGCAATGTACATATCATTATTACCTCAACTTTCTCCATCTCAGCTACAAAGTCCATTTTTTTATTCTCATGGTCCTCTTTTGAAACCTTCAAAGCCTCTTCTTCTTGTTGAACTTTTCGCTCTCATCTCCTCTAATTCGAAGAGAAGTGGAAGTGATTCGAGCTTCGTTCTCGGCCTGTTAAGAGAAGTTAGATCACGATATTGCGTCACTTCAGCCCGATGCAAAGTAAGAGAAATGAGTCCACCTGTTTCTGTTTCAATTCCCGAGTTTGGTGTTCCACGTCGTCCAGTTCGGATTCAAATGCACCAATCTCTTTCCGAAAGTTTTCTTCTTCCAAGGCAGTCTCCATTTGTTTATTGTCGACAGCGTATTTTTGCTCAGCTACCTGAAAATCCGGAGAACTCCCAGATCACCTCGTCTAGCCACTAATAATTAGTACAAATATTATAGCAAACCCAGACCTTTCTTCGTTCGTCTTCAGTGTTCGAGACCTCATTTTGGATATTGTCTAACCGCTCTTGAAGCATCTCTAGAAATAAGCGCATAATAATTGTTCAATTCCATTAAACCAGAGTCTGTTCTTCATAGTCCAAATCATACAAGCACACGTTTGATCGACAGGAAATAGTGAGGTACTACATGGTACAAAACGCAGCACTATGTGTACACATTAGAAGTGGCAGAGATAGTGAGATTAGAGGCACACCGTTGTCAGCAACTTGCGCCGAAGAATACCCGAACTTTTCATGTAATTCTTCCGACATCTTCTGCCTCTCCTTTCCTTGATGTTCAATTGCTTGTATTTCGGCAACAAGAGCCTGCAAGAGGAAATGATAAAAGAAAACCGAAAATTGGAACTTACTGTAAGATCAAACGCATCGGAACGCTTTTTCAAGTTGTCTTTCACGTTCGACTTCAACTGTTGAAATGCTGAAATATAACTTCGCTTAGGGACAATATTTGTTTTAATATTTAAACTCATATTCAGCAACATGTGTACTCGTTCAATAAGACATTGTTTTAATAGTACAAGCCCGCAAAGAGCGATAAAAGGTTACCTGCAATATCTTGAGGAGCGAATGTTACTTGCTCTTTCAAATTTTGGACCTGATCACGAAGTTGCTTCTCCGAGTCTGCGATTCGCGCTAAGGCCGCACTTATGTCACCCATTTTTGCTCGCACTGCAATAAAATATCACTCAATGAACATAGTGAGAAATTTTATTGATTTTAGAGGCCCGTATACTTCTCCTACCAACATAAAAGAATTTTCGATTACGGCTCCAAAGTAGAACTGATCCATAAGGAAAGCT